AAATCTTTTCTCCGTTTATCCTGTCTCAATATACTATTAATTTCTGTTCAAGGTTTACTCACGGAGCATACCATCTGAATAGATTTTGATACAAATTCGTGCATGTTAATTAGGTAATTTACATAATAATTGCTAAGTTGTAGAATCTCATTGTGTAATTAGCATACTAATTAAATGTTTTCTGCTTGTTTATCCTGTATTATAACAAAATTTCTAGTTTGGAGCATAGAATATCTGCATACGATGAGTTGAGTTAAATGTGAAACCTGTGATCATAATTAATGTGTCCATATTAATCAGCTAATTTGCATACTAATTAACTACTTTCAGCATGTGTTGTATTTTATAGGTGCAGCTAATTTGCATAATAAATTTGTTTTAGAACAATTGTATATCTCACATTATTTGTATATAATTCAACTCAAATGAATTGAAATTTTGTACATGTAGACAAATATTTGATAAAGGTTTTTAGTTAGAGTAGTGTATGTAAAATACATGCAAGATTATCAAATTAAAGTGAGGTTGTTTGTTTGATGTTATTTCTACTTCAATGAATTTAAGTTTAATAATTAGACCTCAATTAAAATGAATATAATTTAATTCAACTGAATTGAAGTGTTCCAATACTGTTCCACTGATATCTGAAGAACTACTCATTTGATTTTGATGAAAATTGGCACATGGATGCTCTGAACTAAATGCGCAGATTTGATTAGTTTTAAGTAAAAATCCATGAATATTAATTACCTAATTTGCATAATGATTAATAAATTGTTGGCTTTTCCACTTATATCTCAAGCACTAATCATAACATTTCAATAAAACGTAGTACATAGATGTCATATGACACTTCACAGACCTGATAGTTTTTAGGGTAATGTCCGTACATATTAATTACCTAATTTGCATAATGATTAATAAATTGTTGGCTTTTCCACTTATATCTCAAGCACTAATCATAACATTTCAATAAAACATAGTACATAGATGTCATATGACACTTCACAGACCTGATAGTTTTTAGGGCAATATCAGTACATATTAATTACCTAATTTGCATAATTAAATAATTTTCAGCTTTTGGTATTTCAAGTAGTAATGATCACATTTTAATTAAACCTGGTACATAGTTAGTTAGTACAGAGACCTAATTAGTTTTGGGTAAATATTTGTGCATATTAATCACCTTATTAACATAATTAGTTAATTTTCAGCTTTTCACCTGATATCTCAAGTACTAATCATCACATTTCAATTAGATTTGCAACATAGACCTCCTAGGACTTTGGGGTAAATAATTGTGCATATTAATTACCTAATTTGCATAATTAGTTAATTTTTTGCTGTTCCATGGCTGTTGCACTGAGGTCTATAGAACCACTCATTGAATTTTAATGACCCTTTTAAAGAGTACTCATCATCACATTTCAATGAGCCTAGGACTATACACCCTATTAGTTTTTGGTAATTATTTATGCTTTTTAATCACCTAATTAACATAATTAATTAATACTGGTATCATCCCATTTAAATAAAATTTTATACATAAATGCTCTAGTACAATAGACAGCCTGATTAATTTGGGGTTAAAATCTGGTCATATTAATTCTCTAATCAGCATAATAATTTGTTGGTTCTAATCACATTTCAGTGCAGTCCTTAGTTTTACACTTAAGTCTGTTCATATTAGTTACCTTATTTGCATAAGCTTTTCCGTCAATATCTCAAGTTCAAGTTCAAGTAATTTTGAATTATTTTTAATGTGTCTACAATACTATCAGCACACGGGAGTTGTTTCTAAGCTTTCTTCGATTTTATATTGCCAGGGACTATGCCATCTACTTGTTTTCTTGCAGCCCAGCACACACTATGGCTTCCCCAGACAAGAGCAAGAAGAGCAAGAAACAAAAGCACATTTCATGCGAGACTTCTACATTCTGTTTGAGTTTAAATGACTTACAATCAATCAGCAAGAGAAGACGAATATCTGCTACAAATATAGACCTCTACGTTGACGGGAAAATGTTTAGTTGTCATAGAAACGAATTGATGATAAGTAGCTCATACTTCATGGAACTGTTGAACAGTTCCAGACATCAAGGAAACAATACAAGTGTAGTTGAAATCAACGATGTCAGCTCAAGTATAATGGAGTTAATATTGAATTATATTTATACTGGTTCAGTTACCATAGCAACAAGCAATGTGGATAGTTTGTTGGAAGCAGCCATATTATTTCGAATTGGGCACCTTGCGGATTGGTGTGTTCAGTTCACATTGGATCACATAGATGTTTCAACTTGTCTTGGTGTGTGGCAGAAAATGGAGTCTCTTGATTTGACAGATGCCAGTAACAAGGCAAAGAAGTACGCATTGGGAAACTTCAGGCTGGTGTGTAAGGAGTCAAATTTCATTGAGCTATCCAAGGAATCTTTGATTAAACTCTTATCTGATGAGTTTCTCAGCGTAGAGAGTGAGAATACCATTGGCTACGCTGTGCTATCATGGCTTCTTCATGCTCGAGCAGAACGCATGGCAGATTTTGGTGACGTTTTGATGACAGTGAACATACAAGCAATAACGTCCGCTATTCTGATAAACAGGTTGAAGAGTCAGCTAGTACGCATCAATGACGCAGTATCCAGAGACCTCCTGAAACGGTTTGCAGACAATATGCAAAGCGATAATCCATGCAGCAGGCGATATCAAGTAGTCGGCATCATAGGAGGCTTGAGACCGAACAGTAAACACAATCAGAAAGTCCACTATTACAACCCAGTTGGAAATACTTGGAAAACTCTTACGCAGATACCGAAAGATTATCAGATTGAAAGTGCTGTGGTCTATGGTAATATTATTATCACTCACCAAAACAGAGTTATGAGGATGTTCAATTTAGAAACCAGAGAGTGGTCAGACCTACATAACCAAGTCGCAGTGCGTAGACCCCAGTGTAAAATGTCAAAGATGCTGGCATTAGATAATAAGGTCTATTTTATTGGCGGGCTAGACAAGTCTGGTACGGATGGTGGATTCATATGCTACGATCTTATCAACCACTGTGAATTACCTGTGGCACAAATGGAATGGAGCGGAGTGCAGTTTTCGTGTGTTGTAGCCTATCATGGAAAAATATATGCATTTGATGAAGCATCCGAAGAAATTGATCACATATCAGCAATTCATTGCTATGACCCAAACACCAACCAGTGGCAACGAGCAGGCGATATCCCAGAAGGCTTTCCGGTAAATTCACAGGCTGTAGTTTTTGACAAATTCATCTACATCTTTCACGATGCAGGTAGCATACATGTGTACCATCCATCGGAGGATCAGTGGTTGCCAAGGATACAAGGACCTGATGACTATGAAGCGTACATCGGCTCTTTCGGTACTGTATGTAACTGTATGCTTTATATACCAAGTAAGCAATATGGTGCCGACGGTTTGGAGTATTATTATATGTGTGTCTATGATTTGGTACACTATTACTGGAGAGTGAAAACTGTGATGAAATCAGTGTACAATGCAAGCTGTGTTACATTACTTGTGTGAAGAAGTGCTGCTAGGCGTTAAATCCATAAACATGTGCTGATTAAATAAAAGTGCATGGACAATTACAGTTCACCTCA